ATCGCCACGGCTCATCAAGAATGAGCTTGTGTAGCTAGTTGACAGAACAGGTATTAGGAGAGATATCAAAAAGAGAAACGCTTCTAATAACAACAAAAGACCGGAAGTTGTGGAGAATCATAACCTTTTATGTTCTGTAAGGAGATGGCACATAGAAAAACAATGTAAATTATTGAAACGGCGCCTAAACAGTTAATTGTGATTTTAAACATCACAATAAATTCATTTTCATCACATTTATATTGTTGTTTAGTTGTTTATATTACTTACATCTTTCGAAATGTTGTCCTCATCTTTATTGCCATATTCCCCAATAAGAATATGGCAAAAAAGATGAGGGCAACAGACCGAACAATGTGAATATTATAAAATATCTATCTATCTCTGGCTATTCCTCACAATCAATCAATCTATCTATCTATCTATCTATCTATCTATCTATCTATCTATCTATCTATCTATCTATCTATCTATCTATCCCAGTCTATTCCCCTCAATCAATCAGTCTATCTCAGTCTATTCCTCACATCAATCTATCTATCTCAGTCTATTCCTCACAATCTATCTATCTATCTATGTGAGTCTATTCCTCACAATCTATCTATGTGAGTCTATTCCTCACAATCTATCTATGTGAGTCTATTCCTCACAATCTATCTATCTATCTCAGTCTATTCCTCTCTATCTATCTATGTGAGTCTATTGCTCACAATCTATCTATCTATCTATGTGAGTCTATTGCTCACAATCTATCTATCTATCTATGTGAGTCTATTGCTCACAATCAATCTATCTGAGTCTATTCCTCACAAACTATCTATCTATCTATCTATCTATCCATCTATCTATCTCAGTCTATTCCTCACAATCAATCAATCTATATATCTATCTCAGGCTATTGATTATCAGTCTGTCTCTTACTCTCTCTATCTTGGTATATTTATTTTCAATCTATGTATCTATTTTTCTTTGTTTACGTGTATATATATATATATATATATATAGTCGACTCTCCCCCGTCGAATTCGACGTAAGAGGGTCAAGCAAATCAGTTCCTAGGAAACCGACAGCCCGACAACAGCACATGAGATTTGATTATAGTGGTGAAGGTTTCGTGCAGAACCATCCACACTTTTTGAAGGGCCGAATTCAGAGACCTGGTGCACTACGTGCCACAAGGTCCCCAAACAACCCTCCGCAGGTTTTGAATTCAGAGTTGTCCTTCTCTTAGACCAGTTGCCATCCAAGGCTACAGAACCCAGTCTGTCCTGCTATTTCCCCATAGCTGGAGGGAGAAGAAGAGTATTCACACCTTTCTCAAGGGTATTAGCACGTAGGTGAATGTAATGGAGTCGACTGGAATATATATATATATATATATATATATATATATATATATATATATATATACCTGTTCACGACTATCTACGGGGTGGTGTTGAAATTTTATTATGAAATAATCGATCGAGAACCGGTATGTCATTGTCTTTTTGTTGTAGTTTTTTCCTTCCTTTTTACTGGAGCTGATAATTTTTCAGCACCCCATACTCTTTATCTATCGATGTGCTCGCGCCCTTTTTTACCCATCATTCTAACAAGCTCGTTCCCAATTTCGCAAAAAGCAAATTTGTTTAACTCTACACGAACAAAGACCTCACACATTCGATTGTATCAAGTTAGAAGGCAACCATATTTCCATTAAGACGACCAATACGAAAGGGGTTTGATAGCCGACGTAAGAAAAATCTTCAACGTCGTTTGTGATCTGTCAGACATTTACCGTAAACTACAGCACGGAGACAATGAACCTGGCGGTTATTCAACTTTATGCCGTAATAGGCTTTTCTTATCACGTGGTTTCTGAGTTCTTGCTAATCAGAATTTGACGGCTTGATTCATCGCAATACATTTATTTCCAATCGAATTTCAATAAAGAATCGGAGAAATTCGAAATGGTTGAACAAGCAAAGGTTGGATTATCCGATTATGTCTTGCTTTGTCTCTCAAAGAACGACATTCCAGGAAAATCTATTACGGCAAAATCGGCTATTGTCTGTATGCATGCGTCTTCTAGCCGGCCAAACGGCTGAACTCCGAGGGCTGAACATTTGTTTACATGAATAACTTGACAAGAAAATGAACAAAGGATCAATAATGGTGACCTTTCAGTTCACAGTATATATATATATATATATATATATATATATTATCCTTTTAAGTAATATATATGTATACTTGAATCAGATCCAGAAACAATAGTATTAAAAGTGCTCAATACACGTGTGAAAAAAATAACATAAAATAAAATTTAACATGTAAATCTTATAAATTTAAAAATTAGGAAATCAACTGAATCCGCTAGCCTGGTTTCAGTCTGACGGTATCGTCTGACGATTGTATCACTTGACCTCAAACCGTCTAATTTAAAAAAAAAATCGTAATCAACGCCATTTGTTTCAATAAAGGAACAAACACACGACGTTGGGTGTGACAGAAAGGA